GGGGAGTGAACGAGCAGCTGCGTGGTGCTTAGTTGCTGGCTAGGGTTAAAGCACGACAGTGAGTTACTCACCTGCAAAGCCCCATGGCCTCTGATAACATTTCTGCACAGAAAAAGAGCCAAAAGGAGGAGTCAGGGACTCGTTCTGACTACAGAAAAGTGAAGTCCATTTCCATTGCCTACTAGTGATAGGCTAGGTGAGGGGGGCACCTGCAGACATGGTGTGATTCCCTGAGAAAAGAGATGTTTGTGTAGCTGCTTGGATTCTGTGGACACAGCATTTGTTGAATATTGCTGAAATAGGGTGAGAGATGACATAAAGGTCTCATACTGGGTTGCTTTCAAAGTCATCATCTGCACCAGGTGATGCTGCTGACAGTATCTGCAGCCACTGGTGATACGAGATAATGACACAAAGGATGATGCAAAGTGATAAATACAGCCTATCTACTTCTCCTTCTTGGAATTGCCCTATGATCTTAGGCTGTGTTTCAGAAAGCAGTTCGACTGCTAAAAGGGAGTCCAGAGAAGGGGTTGTGAATTTATTCAGAGGCATCTCCTCCCCTGTTCATGTAGAGATAAAAAGGAGCTAAACTGTGACAGGCGCCAGCAGGAACTTGGCAATCAGGATAAACAGCCCCACCAGACTGTCAGTTGCAGATTATGTCACTTGCTTATTTTTCCCTTCTGGCCTCTTAATGTATGTTGTACTATGAAGTGAATGAGGAAGAAAGCACACTGGATTTACACTTTCAAATGCTTCAAAAGCAACGTAGTGTACGATTTATTGCGTGGTGAGAAATACAATGTCCATAAGATGGCAGCAGAGGAATTGTAGTGGTACTTAAATCTGTATTGACCAGGTGAAAATAGAGCTCCTCCATTCCAGCAGTAAATTTGTAATACGATTTGTGCAGTCAGCTCCCCAAAGGCTGTAATGACTTCAGCCCATATAGAGATCTGGTGACACAGCAGATGACATGATCAAGGCCTTTGTGTGTAACTTCTCAGAAAAAACATTTACCGAAAGGGAGAGAAAAATACAAAACTAACAGAAAGATGCAAATATAGACAGGAAGTTTGTTTTTCTCTTTTAACAAACAAAACCATACAGCGACAACAAAAACCCTGACTTGTTAGTACAGCAGATATTAGGATTTCACTAATCTCTCCAGTATTTTTCCCAGCAAAATTTTCACTGCTTTCAGTGAGCACTTTGTTCATTTTTACTAGATGGCGTTCAGAGGAGAGTTTTCCTGTGAGCAGTGAAGCCCCATCAGTTCATGCCAATAGAGGAACCAGTCCCAGGTGTTTGACCAAGACAAGCAGAGGTACTTATTAACTGCTTTCTCCTTGGCCAAGGTCAGCATAGCTGGTGCAAGTCACAGCAGCTTGCTAAACTAGAGATGTTCACTCTTACACTGGCAGCCATCTCTGTGGACTTATCCCGTGTCCTTACTTCAGGGTGTGGTCTTTCAGAGAAATGCTGAACTCAGTAGATGGTGAATCAGGGAAAGCTTGGCCCTCCTCTCCCTCACTGTCACAGTGTACTGGGATTGTGACCTGTAGTCACGATCAATGCAGTCACTTCTGATTCACACTGGAGCACAGAAGAGGAGAAGGAAGCCTCACACACCTGGATCCCGCTCTTCAGGGTTCATAGGAGCAGGGTTTATCTTCTAGACATCCCTAACCACAGAAAAAGGTTGTACAGAGGAACAGAGAGAAGCAGCACACCAGCTTTACATAAGCAGTATTTATTGCAGTCAGCAGCTGGGAGTGGCTGCACCAACTTACATGCAACCAGGGAGATTTGGTCTTTCTCAGTCTCCTGAGGGTCAGCAGTTCCTGTCCTTTGAGATGGGATGTGCCATCTACCTCTCAGGGAAGGAAAGCTGACACATAACATCAAGGGAGGCTGTGCAGAAAGTTGCTAAGGTATAATATTCATACAAGGGGACAGAATGAAGTAGTGCAGAGGGAAGAGGATATGTATATAAATACACACACTTTTTATATATCTACCTAAGAGAGAGATACAAGCTGCCTTGAATAAACCAAATGCTGACCCAACTTCAATCCATCCTTGAACCAATTTTCTTTTTATTTAGTTCATAAAGTTTATTGCTTTTTGTTTGCTTGCTTGCTTTTTTGGAGCTGTTTAGACACTTTTAGTTTCAAGCGTAAATACTAAAGCATCAGAGAGGAACAGGTTATTTTTTTCTTCTGCTTGGGTATATTCAGTTTCACCAGAAACCAACTGCAACAAAAATAGCAAGAGATTTCCAAGTTACTTTTTACAGACAGTCATTGAATCCAGCATACAAATGGAAGGGTTCATCTAAAAGGACTCCTCTAACACACCTTTCGGGATTTATCTTGTTGCTATACAGGCAAGTTTTGTGACAGAACAGTGTACCCGAAACTGATTTCTGGCTACGTAACAGCAGTTCCACACTCTATCCTTGCAAAATGATCCTACATTAGCACATATTTAGGGTGACTACTCTAACCTCAAAACACTCAACTTTCCTAGTCATTGTACCAGGAGGCAGCCATTCTGCCTTCTTCCCAGTGAGTATCCCAGGATCAGATCCATCACACTTACACATGTTGTGACATTTGCCTTCCATAATCTTCATGCATTTTGCAGAAGACGACAAAACCTCTTGTTACGTTTCTAAGATATACATTGATTTTCTTGATAGGAATCACAACTTTTTCACCTGTTGTGTCCTGGGGATTCAAATGGAAGGAGGTAAGACAAAGTCTTCTCAACCATTTCTGGTGAAGCTCAAAATACCACAAAAGACAACTGAAGAGAAAGGAAGAAAGCTGATGCAAACTCAGCAAGTGGTATAATTATTGCCTTGGTGTTCTGAGGAAGACCCCAGTCTAGATGTTTTTCTTCCCTCCTTCCCACCCACAACCTTCTTTCTCCTGGGGGGGTCAGAATGGTCCCAAGCAAAATGAATGAAGTGACTGTCCCATCCTTAGTATCTCCCAAAGAAACGGTTGTAGGCCATGGAAAATCCTATTTGGTCAGAGAGATAGTCACAGGGAGGGTAGTTTTCACAACGCTCATGCATCTGCTCCATTGGATTTTTGTAATACTCAAAGTACCTGGAGTGGACAAAGAGAGAGACGCCATTCTGCAGATTCAGACATGCAGTTGGAGAGGTTTCACACCCATGATACTAACACAAGAAGAGTGATTCCCCAGGGTGCCCCAATGAGAGACTTCTCATGGTGAGTTAAACACCTACTTACACAGGGATGGACTACTTAATTAATGCTGGAAAAAGTTGGAATTGGTGCCAACTTAAAGCAATTGCTCTTGAGGTTTTATCAGCAAAGGAGACCACAGAAGCAGTTAGTGGGTTTTTTTTTTGTCTCCAACACTATTCCCCAACTACCCAGGAATCTGTTGTTGTTATTTATTTTATTTTTTATTTAATCATCTCCTGCTTACCTTTATTTGCTCCCAGTTTCTGCTCACTTTCCCACTTGCCACTATTTTCCTTTAGCTTAAGGAGTTTCCTCTCATCATCCTCACTTCTGCTGTTGACAGCAGTACTACTCCCACACAGCTTTTGTTTTGCCAGGCTAAGCAAGCCGAATCTTCTAGTCTCAGCTACACACTCTGGAGGCACTTCTCAACTCCTGTTCCAGGTTTGGTTAATCTTTCCTGCTACAGGAGAAGTCCCACCAGTATATCACGAATTTCTTTATTTCTGTATTGGAAAAACCCTGCAGCACCCTTGAATTCCATGTGTTGCATCCATATTTCCAGACTAACCTTACCTCATGATCAAATAATACACTGAGCTGTCTGTCTGCCTCAGTCCTTACCGATTAATGCTTACAGCAGAAGCTACTTTTACGATGCACCACCTGTTAGGAGGTAGTCAGTACAGTTGCTACTTCTGAATTTCATCTTGGTTTTAATCACTGCAGCTTTCAACATCAGCCAGTTCCTCTGCTACAATGATCTGGATCCTCTTTTCTACAGATGGTGCCTCCCAATCTTCTATTATCTAAAACCAACATTATCCTTCTAGTCCAAAGACAGATTGAATAAAAATTCTTTTCGCCACAGGCCTACATGAGACAATGGCTTAACAAACTCTTCCAGGAAATACATTAATAACGTTCTCAGATGACCTCAAATTTCTCCAAATGTTTATAGCTAGGATTTTTCCAAATCTTCATGCCTAGGATTTCTGCACAAATAGATTTAGGTTCTACAGCTTCAGAAAGAACAGCCAATCCGATCTAGCCTCATCCCTACAACAGAGCTGTGCTTCCTTTGTAGGGAGCCAGAGGCAATGACCAAGGCTCTGTGATACTCATTATTGTGGGTATCGGCTCTGTTGACCCTGCAGGTTAGAGCAGCTTCTAACTTGTACCCTCCTGTCCCCATGGCTAGCCCAGAGAGCTAGTACTGTCTTCCTGGGAGGAATAACAGAGTCCAGCTATGAGCTCACAAAAGGATATTTATGACAAAAAAAGAAACATTTATCTATCAATGAGTGCCTCTTACAACCTTTTTGCTTCTACACATGAAGGTAATAACATAAATGTACAATAAATTAATGCATTGTCATGTCCTGTTGCCTTCCCACCCCCTCTTCAGAACAGGTCCAGAGTCCAGCTCTCAGCCTGACTCCTGAGTTATTACCGTTCATACAGGCTGGATCTCTTCTGCCTCTTCACAAAGGCATTGGCAACTTCCTTTTTAATCTTGATGCCTACCAAGAGAGAACAAAGCAGGTTAGAGATGCAGGGCCATGGTCTATGCAAAACATAGACCAGTCTAACCTCTGAAAAAGGACAGTCTACTGTCTTCGCACGCAGATGACTGTCATGGCCCATCCTAATTGCCCATCCATCTCTCCCCACCCCACTGTCCATGCAAAGCCCAAGAGCTGGCCTCCTTCCTCACTCCAACCTGCACACCTACATGGAGCAAGGGCCTTTTCTGTCATAAACTCTATTCCCTTATCACACAGCATGATCTGAGTCCACAGCAAATGTGCAGAAGGCAAAGTCATGACAGCAGAAAATACAAATAAGGAGGAAATTAAGTGGACGGCACCCTCTCTTGCTGGCCCGCTTAACTTCACAGTCTTGGTTTTCTTTCTATATTTTGACTCAGACTGGGAGTGATGTAAGATACCAGCCACCAGGCCTTAAAATGCCTCTAAAGAACCATAAGCAATAGGCGGCACATGGAAATACCAATGCTCACACATGCAGAGTTCCATGAAAGGTGAAGGGTATAAAATAATGAGAGTAAACCATCACCCAGCGAGACATACACCCAGTAGGTGCAAAGATCCTGGTGTTCAGGCACTTGGAGAACATGAGAGCTCTTTCTGCCGTGACAGTAGTAGCCCCTGGTCTCCACTAACACACCGTGTCAGCACAGTTGCTTATTTGTGCAAACACCGGTGTGCTGTGGAGCACCCCACAAGCAGCAGGTAGAGGCACTTTGCCCCTCAATCCCAGCCAGGGCTCAGCACAGCACAGCACAGCACAGCCCAGCCTCGCTCCATGGGACGGACCCACACCAGCACAGCACAGCATGGGTGCCGGCACACCAGCAACACAGGGAGCTGCACACCAATACATATTTCAGCAGAGAAACTGGCAAACTGTCACTGTCACTGGGGGAACACAGTTTCTAAGACCTCTGTCTGTGGGGAGATGGTGGCGTATGTGCCCTTTCCTCATTATCGTGGGGCGTTTGATTGTGTTTCTGTTTGGCAGGTGAGAGATGCCCCCTCTCTGGCAAGCTGGGGTTTAGTCTGGATCAAAATACTGACTACACAGAAAATGCCAGTTAATGAGCTGCCAGAAATCACCACCTTTCCCTGAACACTCTTTGCATTTTTTTTTTCTCTCTTTCCCAATCTGTGTTTGTGTTGGCTCACTGGAGAAATACCAGATTTCACGCTTCCCAGCAGCAATGTTATCCTTTAAGGTGTGAGAAAGGAGAGACAGGGAAGAATGGGGCATTTTCCATACAGACTTTTGCCAGGATCAGCTTGCTGCAAAAGCTGTGGACATCCCAAGGTGTGCAAATCCCCACGTCCCAGGCAACCTGACAGAGGAGAGACTGCAGCCCTCAGGAGCAGCCAAGGAAGGTGCTGGTTTCCAGGTGCTCCAGATTGTGGGATTTGCAGCGATGTCACAGTCTGTTGCAGTCTTTCTGCTCTGTGATCCTGCACACCAGATCAGCAGACCTGAAAGACCAGTGCCTGGAGGCCCTGGCGCAGGTTCTGCTCTCTTAACAGCCTGGGGATGCAGCAGTCACTTTGGATATGTCTCTGAGACCAGCTCAGGGAAGCTGGGAGACTGGCCATGTTGCTCCACTCACATCACCCTGTTTCACAGAGGGCAGATGCATGCAGCTGCTAACAACCTGTAGGACTCACGTCTTGTCTGGGGGCTGCTCAAGGGTTGTGGAGATGCAGGCTATGGCACTAGGATACCTGGAGCGATGCTAGGCTGCTGGTGCAGGGAGGCTGACCTCCCTGGTGTCTCCTGCCCCCACGGCTGTGAAAAGCAGCCCCTGTGTTTGCTGCAGGTGCTCCTGCACCTCAGGGACTGCAGTGCTGAGGGAGCAAAAAGGGAGCAGGTAGAGGGACTCAGCACTGTTCTTGTTCATCCCTTGAACCTATCGAAGGGAAGAAGGGAAGTAGATGCAGGAGAATGGAGCTGAGCATCAGTCACAACAACATACTCACTGGCAGTGCTGGGAGATCCTGAGGGGTCTTTGGCATCTGGAAGACAGATAGACAGTGAGGAGTTTGCTTGTGAGTCCTCCTCCTCTGCTCCACTCTAACTGAAAACCTCTGCCTACGGGGTGGATCCAACTCTCCCCCTTTCCCAGAAAGTCCATTCCTCCCAAAAAAGGGTTTTATTAACACCCACCTTTTAGGGATAGACTTCTTCACCACGGCAAAATTCACCCATTATGCCTGGATCTGTTTAATTTCAACTTCCTCTGAGCCAGATTAAATGACATAATAACCATATAACCACTGTGGAAGTTGGAGGAAGACCTTCCTCCTTCTCCCTCCCCACCTTTGCTAGGAGCAGGGACATCTAGAGCTAGGTGACCATTTGAGCAAAACCTCAAATTTGGAGAGAACCTGAAGATAGCTGAGCATCTCCTCTACCTTTGGAAAGAGAGGTTTCCTTAACTCTAGGTAGAAACCACAAACTATTGATAGGGAAGGGAAATACGGCCAAAAATCAGGAACGACTCTACCCTCACAGCTTTACGACTCAGGGTTGAGGTACCCAGCTCACCAACCCTCCCAAGAGGAATTTACACACCGTATTTCTATGTTCAGTCCTAATCTTAATCCTTCATCCTTAATGCTCCCTGCAAACACGCAAGGAAAGCATCCTCTAAGAGAAATGGTAGGTCTCCTAATCTTGGCTCTCCCACACCACCCTATCTCAAAATTTTTTTCTTCCACTGTTTCACCATATTTTTCCTCAACAATGTCAGTTCCACCCAAGTCACCAGGTATTTGGCATTTGTGTATTTATGGGCAGATAGGGGACTCTAGAGACCAAAAAAAAAAAAAAAACCACCTGTGCTTAAACAAAAACTTTTTGTGAAAAGGGTTGTGTGTAGTTCTATTTTGAAGCTATGTACACGTTCCTTGGATTTAAAGAAAAAAATTAGAAGTTACTCCAAGGCCATTAAGCAATCTGGAATAATAATAATAACTAAAAAAAAGCAGATATATACTCAAGAGTGAAAAAGTGAGAGAGACACTGACAGATCAAATAAATTTGCCAGTATTTAATCATGACATCTGATGCCAAGGACTGAATGAAATTTAACTCTGAATGAGATAATACAAGAAAATACAACGCCCTCTCCTGCTCAGCTTCTTTTTTCCTGCTGTAAAGGGAAAACACTTGTTCTTCTGATCTTTCGCCCCTTCCCTCTCCATCAACTATAGAGCTGCCACTACATTACTGTCTCTTGATCATAAAGTCACCACGGCTAAATCACTTTCAAATGTGATGTGCTCTGGTTTTAATGAGACAACTCTCTTCTTTTTTAACAATCAACTTTTTTTTTTTTCCCTCCAGAAGTTCTCCACATCCCACATTTCTCAGCAGGTCTAGGCTTGCCTCTGTGCCTATCTCTGTGATCCTACAGCATTCCAGGTCTGATAGGTACAAAATCCCTCTCCCTGTGGTCGACACAACTCTGCTTGCAGCTCAACCCTCTTACTCAAAAGTGAGCATCCAGCATAAATTTGCCAGTTCACCTAAATGCTAAGTGCAAGAGATGAGGCGCTCTATCCCCAAGCACTCTCTCATCCATGATTCTGTCTCTGGGACAGAGATCTGAAGTTGTGCGATGACCAGCGGTGCACCTCCTCCCCCCAAAGCTGTGCGCCTCTCCCAAACCACAGGGAGGCTGGAGGCAAGCTGCAGGGTTGAGCAGCGCTCCTGGGAGCCTTCCTGGGAAGACATCCCCTTACCTTTCTCACAACAGCAGAGCGCTGCCAGGGCCAGAGTCACGATCAGTGGGGCCAGCAGACTCCTCATGTCTTCTTTGGCTGCGCTAGTCTCCCAAACCTCAGAGCTTTTCTGGAGGTTACTGAAGTTCTCCGAGCTTGCTTTTGGGCAGCAGTTTATATCCTGTGATTGCCTGGAGAGATCAGGGCTCTGGCTTGTGTTCCTGTGTCTGAGCTCCAAAACAAAGCCGTCCTTTGAGCCAGGAGATATAGGGTCCTGGCAGCCATTTGACATCCCTCTGAGGACTTGTGGCATTTCCAGAAGATTTTATCTGAGGTTTTGAATGGGACTGTTGAAGAAAAACAACTGGATAAAAAAATCAGTTTTATTATAAACATGAAAGTCATTCATCTTCTTGCCGGAAAGCCAGGGGAGAGACCAGCACACCCTGAAGTAAAGCAGCTCCTTTTGTGTAGTGGAGCTCTCTCATGTGGAAAATCAAATGACACTGAACTGAATGGTGACCCTTTTCCCCTACCCCACACTGAGCCATTCCCCTGAAGGTAAAGAAACCCACAAAACAGTTTGCATAGGGCAAACACATAGCAGATTTTCGCTTCAGACAGTTTCATCAAACCACTTTGGAGAGCTGAGGTTTTTATACTGTTGATGTCTTTGGTAGGTAGTTTAGGGGAGGGTCTTTCTTCTTTCTTCCTGGAAATCTTCCTAGTATGGAGGCTATTAGTTTGTCTTCTCTTGTCTAAAAATCAAATAAACCTTGAGACTCCAAAAGTGTTTGATTCTTCAGGACTTGAGTGGCTGTGGTTGCCTGGTATGTCAAGAGCCCTGAATGGGCTCGTCTAAAGCCTGTCTACCAATAACCCCATACTCCCCAAACCCACCAGCCAAGTTTCCAAAGCCATGTCCTAAACACAGCACATGGATCACATTTTCCTCCACCTCACATCCAGTCCTCCTCAGTCCTGTATGTGGGGGAGACATCCAAGGGTTACAGAATTACAGCCTAAAAGGCTCCCAAGGGCAGTCAGAGCCATTAGGGATTGTGCCAAACCCTAGAAACACTGTCTTTTAGCTTAGAGAAATTTCAAGATTTAAAAAAAAAAAAAAAAAAAAAAAAGTTTATCTCTTCTACAGTCCAGGAAAGACTGAATATATATACTAACAACTTCCAGCAAAAGTATCTTAAAGAGCAACAGTTTAAAAATAAATAAATATCTAAAAATAATAGGTATTCTAGGAAAGTTGTGCTTCCAAAAGAAAACTTGAAAGAATATAAATATACAATTCTTGTAATCCAAACAGCTTTACTTCTCTTTCCAATTTTTCCCAAGCTTTCTAACCAGCATGTAGCCTCTTAAACATGTTTCATTATTGCTTACACTAACAAAATCCCACAGAAATCTCCGGTATTATTCAATATTTATACTGGTAAACCGGAGGTTCGAATCGCCAGATATTTCTGGGCACAGACTCAGACAGCACTAGCCCTGTGCCTTTCATTTTGGTAGTGTCACAGTGTTAAGTCAAACCCAGACACTGAAGGCTTGTTGACTTTAAGGTGTGAAAGTTTTGCCCTGGTTTGTAAGCATAAGATTCACCTACTTGGGAACATGCAGACCAAGTGTGGGTGCAAATATACCTAATCCATATGGCTTTTTTTCCTTAAACTCATTTATCTCTCACTTTTTGCTTTGGACAAAACTTTTGCAACTGTCAGGGTGGAGTTTTCTATCAGACATGTTTTCAGTAAATAAATCGCATTTCTTTCCAGAAGTGCACCTTCAAAGCTGGCAAAGACTTGAAGCATATTTTGCAAGAAGATGTGTGTTTCTAATGTGGCAGGTAGATTTGCCTCTAGACTTAATTTCACAGAATAGTAAACAATTTGATACTTTATACCTCATAGCCTTTGATAGTGTGCCATGAATCTTTCCCACTTCTATAATTTGCAGGTGCCTGTGGAAGCCTGGAGATGTGAATATTGAAACCAGCTGTGCTGAGCTGATATAGGGGACATTATGTCTCCTGCACACCCCACACCAAGGAGTTTCTGAGCTGCTGTGGCTGATGACCAGCCTGGAGCAGTATTGAATTCTTGGGCATGTCAGCACTGGTGCTTCTTGGCCTGGGGACTGCAAGGTGCCCTGGTGCCAGTGCTGGTGACAACCTGACAGCGGTCACGCTCACTCCTCAGTGGGCCGGGAGGTCCTCAGCAACCTGTGCACAGGGTCAGGCCACATCTTGATTTTGAATGAGTTATGAACAGTAAAATAAAATTGTTCTAGGTAAACAAAGTTGGACTTAAACACAAATGCTGGGTTTCTTTTATTTTTTTATTTACCACCTGAAGCTCCTTTTCAGCTTTTGTTTCTGCAGCTTTCTAGCACTACCAGAATCATTCCAAGTGGAAGTAAGGGCATGGAATGGGATTCCAAAAGGAAATATGAGTAAAATGGATCACACTTAAAGGAGCACACTATATCAGGACCTGAGGGTAGCTGGATAGACAAGATGCAATTTACAGGCTGTTTCTGTCACTAACTCTTGCCCTAACTTTGTTTTTAAGGTTAAACAGGCACCTTCTGAATGTTGTTTCCCCAACTGAGGAAAGATGCTAGAGATTTTGTTTTCAAAAAGTGCATCTCACCCTGCTTTCTGAACACCGCACCATTTTAAGACTTCTTAAGACTAGGAACTGAAATTTGCCAGTGACATCTAAAAGAAGCCACTTGTAGACCCTCAACAAAAACATTGTAGGTCCTTTCAAACTCATGTGATTGCAAGGTAGTGACTTTTTTCCGTAATCTGCACCAGATTCTATGATAAACAAACTCATCTTCTTCGTGGAAAATTGCACACACCCCCAAAATACTGTGACTCATGAGAAGATAGTATCAAACCAGCAATTTATTGTGTAGTAAACACCCACATCCTGAACTCTCTCTGATCTCTGCTACATCAGCTCAGCACTAATTAACACAATGTAGGAATCCGTGGCTACATGGGAGAGAAGCAGCAGGCAGGATAACATACAAGGACACAAGCAACTGAATACATTTCAGAGCCATTGCATTTTTGGGGAGGATATCCTGGGCTCCAGGCCCCAGAGTGGGGACAGGTCATCCTTTACTTATTTCTCCTTCTCCCAAAATAGTTCCTGTAAGCAGCAGCATAGCCATGGCGAAAAGCATAGTGTTCGCAGGGGTAGTAGTCCTCACAAATCTCCCTCTGACGTTCCTGGGGTGCCTTATTACGCTCCCTGATCCTGCAAAAGTAGGAGAGATGAGTGGTAAGTGCTGCCGTTTTAAATATCTGTCCACAGCCCTTTCCTGCCCCACAATCCCCACCAGGATTAAGGGTCCATCACTAGATTTCATCATCCAGCTACCAAGATGTTAGCATACCAGCTTCTGTGTTCACCGCACCAAGGAGAGTGATGTGACTACAACAGGAGCATTTTCTCTCCCCAGGTAACCTTTTATTTCAGGGCTAAGTAGGGTGGTGGGGAGAGGGGGATGGCTCCTGCCTCAGCCTAAGGAAGAGTCCTCCCTCCGCAACACCCCCAGCCTGCTGCCTTCAGCTCTTCTACTCTTCCCCAAAGCCATGCATGGAACAAAGACCTGAAACATCCTGCAAAGGGGCCACCTGGTACTGTGGAGAAGGTTTGCCTTGCTAGGAGGTGATTTCTGTGCTTCAGCCTTTATTTTCACAAGCCCTACATGAGGCATGAAACTGCCTATATCTGCTTTTTATAGATGAGGCAAGGAGGCCCCCAGATGGCCCTGTGATTTAGAAAATGTCATGTAAATTCTGCATGAGAGCTGAGGACTAGAACAAGATCTCAAACTGAGCTTCCTTTCTGGCCATCCCACACTGATTCCCCCTCCTTCTGTTGGTACTTTCTTCAGAAAAATTAAGCAAAGTGCTCCCAGCACATGACATGTCCTCAAACGCAAGGACTCGCTCTCTGCTATCTGAGTTCTGGCTTCTCCCAGGGTTGGGGACTTCACAGGCACCTCACTGAGAGAGGGGTTGAGGCTTCTCAGAAGTCACCATGGCTTCCTCCCCTGGTACCAGCCTGTGCTTGGCAAAGAGAGACCTCTCCCCCCCTCCCATCCTCAGTGTCCTGAGGCCATAACATACCTCTCCTGAGAGATGGCTTCTAGTCTCGTGTCAGCTTGTATGAAGTCATGGGCCCTTCGCCTGTTGATGAAGGGATCTGAGAAAGCAAGGAGTTGTTCAGAGTAGATAGACACTTTTTCAAGGCCAGATTTCAACAAAAGCTAGCTTCCACATTTATAAAAGCTTCCTTGTCCACCTTCCCAGGCACAGTGAGACCCAGGACCTTTTAATATTCCCTGCTGTCCACCCCACTGGTTCATGCACAGGTTCTCCCTCTGGCTTGTGCAGCCTGTATGGAAGTGCACATGCTGCTCTAGTTCTGCTGTTACTCAAGCCAGCCGGGGTAAAGCTACTGTGATTTTCCTGCCACAGCCCCTCTGAATGAGTGGAAATTGGCCAAGAGGTAGGTGTCAAGCTGTGCAGACCATGGGAGGTCTGGGCACGCTCAGTAGAATTAGTAGAATCATGAAATTACAGGTAAAAACAGGAAGGGCCTGAGTCAGTCTATCTGCCTCCAAGGTCAGGCAGTCACTGAGCAGTCTGTGTGGCAGTTTTGGACTGAGGTGCCCGAAGGTCCCTTCTGTCCTTTTTGAGAAATATCACAGTCCTATTGCAGAGTTCTGGAGTCTGTGGATGTCTTTGGCATTGGCTCCCACATATGCCTTTGTGCTTCTGACCAGCTGTTTTGTGAAGTCCTTCTCCCAGATGGTCTAATTTCTTTTAAGATTCAAACCATCTGTTCTCTAACCTCTCCAGGATATTGCTTGTTCCATGGTGAGACTCTCCACCCTTTCATGCTTCTCCTGTGACATTAACTCTCTTTTCTAGACCAAGGATCCCTCCTGCCCACACATCCCACCTGCTTCTTCCAAGGTGCAATGCAGCAGGGATCTAACTTCATGACTCATTATTTTTTGTTTTCCAATTCTCATTATATTCTTTGCGAA